CTTGTCCACCTCGCATTCCCTTCTTCTCTCCTCGATTTCTGTAACTCTCGCATTCCCTCATGGCACTCATATTCGGTTCAGTCTTGAAATTGGCTGTGATTTCGGCTCTGTTTTAGGAGTTTCGGCGAATGTTTTGATGCCCCAGTCACCACTGGCTGAAGCAGGTTCCAGTTCACCGTCGGCTCCAACATCACCAACACCTCGTAGTACGGACACCGAAATGAAAGAAGGCGACACTACGGCTAACTTCTCGCGCAGCCATGAAATTGTGGAACTGATGAAAAATATTGAAGCATTCACGGGCATTCCGAAAAACCCCGAGAAAGGTGTTGATTTTACTTTACGCCTCTGAAATACAGTTGTTTTGGTTTGAGTTTTTTTCCCCCATTTGAAATACAACTCACCATTTTCATGTTATTTTTGATATAAATTCTTGAATTTGAATTCGATTTCTTATTAGGATTTGAGTTCATGAAATACGATTCCGGCCTAAGCTTCATCTTTTTTTTCAGCGTTAGGAGATTGTCGGCGATGTCTTGGGTGATAACATAGGGTTTCGGGGTGCCTTGGTAGCTGCCTAATAAAGGTGTTTGATGACTGCCTCTTTTTCTTCCTACCAAAATTCCTGGAAATTCGATATGGGTACTCGAATTGGTTGATGTTTCTAGGACTGTCTTACATGCAGGGCACAGCTTTCTCAGGCTCTCTTATTGTGCAAAATTTGAAATTACGTAAATCTGAAGTTTTTTTTTAAAAATTCTGGTCACTGCCTTCTTGAAGGATTTAATTTTAGGTACGCCTGATAATGCTGATAATTTAGAGCCACAATCAATGGCTACAGCCAGCAGTGGAGCCCAAGAAACACCGATGGATACGGTTAGATTTATACCATTAATTACAAAAAGGCATAGGGCAACATCTTTAATCATCAGCTAGGTTTTTTGGTTTATCAGTAGTAATTTATCAGATTTAGCTTAAGGTTGCGAAAAGTGGATGTTAAACTTCTGCCAAGATGAAATTTCTTTTCTTATTTTGCCGCTTCATAGAGATTTTTGAAGGATATTTTTGTTTTGTAAAGTTGTGTGCAAGATTTTCGTACATGAATTTACATGAATACATGGATTTTATGGAATATTTTTTTACGGGATTGAGAGATATGAGGGTGGAAAAAGTATAAGAGTTAAGCCTGAATCAGCAGTTCGGGTCCAATAGAAGGGGGTAACTTCCGCTTACATTGCTGAAATTAAAGTTTTTTCTAAAAATTTTACTTGTATTTTACGGTTTTTTTAAAAATTAGACGTACAGTTTTTGAAATCACTGATTTCAGGAGACCGCTCCATCTGGCTCTGCGTATTCAGAGGGTCGAACGAAGAAAAACCTCGAAAAATGGCTACCAGCAAAATGGAATTCATCTGGATCTTCAAGCAAACGCTCCTACCTGGGACACATCATGGCGAATTTTTTGGTGAATTATGGCTTTTGTAAGGTTATTAGGGGAGGGAATGTGGAGGAAGGAGTGGTGGGGGGGGGG